AAGATGAAAACCTAGTGTGTTTTCTTTTTTTTTTCTTTTTATTAATTTTCCTTTCCTTTGTTTTAAAACCAAATCAACCCAAAAAGCCCAACATAACCAAGCCCAAGAAAAGAGAAACCCATCCCAACTTAAAATAAAACCAACCACATGGAGCCAGATAAATATAAATTTAATTAAAGTTTAATAAAAGAAAAAGAATGAAAATCTCCTGATTCGAGACTAACTAACCTGAGGGATTCGGGGCGTTACACAAACAGCTTCCTTAGGGAGGCCGCGCCCAGGGCGACACAAGGCCGAGCATGGAACTCACGGTGTGAACTTATATGGAGAGCGTGAGGGAAAGAATGTATATATATATATATACCACATATATCTCATATACTTGGTATATTTTATATATACACCTAATCCTCCCACTTAGTATTTTACAACTAGAGTTTATTACTTAGGTAAAATCCGGCTAAATAAAATTATCTAAATTTATTAGTTTGCCCAATATAACTTTTATATTGGATTTGTTTAACACTTACACTTTAATGAACTAACCACATTATTGCATGCTATAAAATATTGACTAATTCAAGCCCCAGGTCGATTCTCAGGTAGACGTTCCCTTACGGTCAGCTTAAGTACCTCAACCTAGACAGAACCTTCCTTAGACAGGGTTCCCTTATAGGCAATATTTTATATTAACCTTTTATTCCGTTGTTTTAAACCTATTTAAAACCAAAATAAAAAATATATAACCTAGGATATAATCAATTTTAAACCCCTTTAAAATTAATTATTGAAGACCTAGGGTTTGCATGCAATTCTTGATTATAGACTTTAATTTCTATTCACCAAACTTATAACACTTATAAATTTAATGAAATTGAAACTATAATCATGCATCAATGACATACATCAATATAACATTTATGTTTAATAAGGTAATGTCATGCTCAGTACAACTTTATTTTCATCTAATTAATACAACACTTATATTAATTAATCATGAAAATAAATTATGCTATCATACATTATAACTATTATATATATATGATGCATGAACATGCTTAACCTACGGTGGGATTTCAAACTATATGACATGCTTTATGCAACATATACAACTAATTAAGTATACATTCAAAGTGCATAAGAATTAAATAGCAAAATAGACCGGTTTTTGGCTTCTTATAAGAAACGAAACAAAACAAAAAAACTTTTTTTTTATAAAAACCCGGCGCCTAAACGCCCGAGCCCAGTGCATAGGCACCCGGACCCAGCGCCTAAGCGCCACTGCCCAGCACCTAGGCCCCACCCCCAACACCGAGGCGTTGTCCACCCGATTTCTCTAGTTTTTCTTCACTTCTCTGGTACTCTTTCACAGCAACTCCTTGTCACGAACGACACGAACTTACAGACTTGATTTACAGGATTAAACACCCAAAACAATGGGCTTTTACATTGATTGAATCAACGGAAAAACTGTAAATCTAATGCCAAAAACCGAAAAACATCTATTTGCAAACCCCATACATCAAATGTATAGAAACACCCAACATTATTTTCCTTGTTATTCAAAACAAGATCGAAAGCAGAGCTTAGACTCTGATACCAATTGAAGGGATCGAATCCTACAGCGAAAGCGCGCGAACGCTTGTGCTTCGATCTTTTCTTAGAATTATAACAAAGAAAAGACATAAGCATGAGTAAGAAGGAAGTCAGTGATACATACAGACACCTCTTCAATGTAGATATCAACGCCACCACAAAGTCTTTCTCGCTATCCTCTGGACATTAAGAACTCCGTTTGTGGGAACCGTCTTATAATTGGAAGGGAAATCGAGAGAGCGAGAGAGATTTTTTCGAAAATCGAGGACCAAAACGGAATGAGAGAACCTCCATTTTATAAAGGAGGAAGAGTGATGAGGAAGTCAAAACTTCCTCACTCACCACTTCCCCACTTTCATTTTTCTTTTTTTTCTTTTTATTTTAATTTAATTAAAACTATTTTAATTAAATTAATAATTAATTAAATCATATTTAATTAATTACAAAAAAAGAATTATTAATTAAATTAAATTAAATTAAATCAAATTTAACTTAACCAAATTAACATAAGTCATTAATTTAATTAAATCATATTTAATCAAATTAAACTTAAATTAATTAACCATATTAGAATCAAATTCTAATATAAATTTCTCTCATAATTTTGAATCCAATTCAAAAATTAACCTTATATTATAATGTATCAATATACATTATGTTAATTGCATCTCATACAATTAATTTTAATTCCCATTAACAAATTTGAACAATTCAAATTCTTTTCAAGATTAAATGTTCTTAACTATTCTTTACGAGCTAGCAAGGAGACCTAATGGACCTATATATGGGAAGATTCAACGATATGAGATTAATTGATTAAACTCATTAACCATAT